GCTATCAGTGGCCCCATTTTAGTAGACATAGATCCAGTCCAATGTCAGGTCACTATTCCCATGGTGGGTGCCAGAGGAGTCAATGCCATGTTCATCACTGATCACCTCCCAGAACTTTGCACTGATCTGATTGCCACACTGGAGCTTGGATAGGTACAATTTCCCTCGTGGTTAGAATTTACTTTTTGTTTGTCTCAAGTTACGTGAAGGGAGAAGAGAACGATATCTTGTTTTCCCTCTTCACTGAACCTGCTCTTTATCACTAGAGGTTGGAGCTGCCGATTCAAAATACAGCTGCACAAATGTTGTGTGAGGGAGAAAGAAGGAAGGGAAGGGGGAGGGGGAAGAGAGAGAAGGAATCGGAGTGGGGCAGGGGGCTTGGTTCTCTTGTTAAAAGGAGGTGTGGAGTTCACAGCCCCACCTTTCAATCAGAGTAGAGTATCAGGGTTGATGAGCTATTACAGGATGACAAAGTTATCCCAATAATGAGATTATTTTCATCATCACTGTCATCGTCATCATCTTATTCCAATAACTCCCACTTATGTGGATTTAGGGCCCCTCCAACTTGGTGGATTTCTGAAGACCACACAAGTCACTATACCCTGCCTTGCTTACCAGATAAGTTTGCATATGGAGACAGAAGGGGTAATGTCCAGAGAAACTCAGTGCCACTGTATTCTTGTTGCATAGCCTTGCTACGTCTGGGCAAAGTAAACCTCCTTTTGTTTATTATTCAATGATTTGCAAATGCTTTGTTTCATCTCATCATCAAACCTGAACTACAAGAGTGCTGGAGTTAGACCCACATCTAACAATGTCCTCTAAGCACATCAAACTCAATATGTCCACAAAGTTCACTATCTTTTCCCTCAACCCCCCACCCTCACCCCTTTCTAAATTTCCCTATTGCTGTCAAGGGCACCATCATACATCCAGTTACTCATATATCAACCTTGACTCCCCTCTCTGACTCATCCCACATATTTAATCAGTTGTCAAATCTTATAATTTCTTTCTCTACAAACATCACTCACATCCTTTTCTTTCCTCCTATGGCCACCACCATAGTTTAGGCCCTTATCACCTCTGTCCTGGACCATTGCTATAGTCTCTGAGTTGTAGTCTTTGCCTCAAGTATCTTCCCACCATCCTACGTACAACTGCCAAAGTGATTTTCTTAAATCATGTCTGTCCATTTCATCCACCTCCCCACCTCCACACATCCACCACCACCAGACAACAAATTCCATTTGCTTATTGTTACCTCCAAGATGATCAGATCTAAATCTGCTGTGTCTTTAGAACCAGTCCCTTTCCCCTCTTTCTAGTCATTTAACACCTACTTCCCCTCTATGCATTCTACAGTGCCACCATACTGGCATATTTTTTTTGTTTCTCACATGTGGTGCTCTGTCTCAAATGTCCCTCTCTGTCTTTGCACTGGCTGTCCACTCTGCCTGGAGAGCTCTCCTAAGACTCCACTCAAGTGCTACCCCCATCATGAGACATCTGCTGGAGTCCATGTTTGCTAGTGCGTTCTCCTCTAAGGTCACCTTCCACCTACTCTGTATTTATCTTCTTTGTGTAATCAGAGGAAGGGGTCTGATCCATGTACAAACATCATCAATTTGCTAAAATGGCATCATCCATGTGAAAGACACTAGGGAACTGCTTCCACAAGGCTGCAGGATTAGAAGGAAGGAATGAAGGAAGCAAGCATTTATATAGCACCTACTATGTGTAGGACAGAACATCGCCAATTACCCAATGGAATTTCCAGTTGAACGATCCATAGGCATCTCAAATTCAACATATCCAAAGCAGAACTCATTATTTTCCTCAAAACTTATTTTGTCCCCCCTCTTCTAAATTTCCCTATTATTGTCAATCATTCAGGTTCTCCACCTCACTGTCCTCATTGATCTCTCCCTCTCTCTCTCTCTCTCTCTCTCTCTCTCTCTCTCTCTCTCTCTATCTATCTATCTATCTTGATTTCTCATGAAGTCACTAGCTTCCAATTGCTCCATTCTAATTTTTAAGGAAGTATTTTCTTCAGTAAACTTTTGGATTTCCTTTTCCATGTGACCAATTTTGCTTTTTAAGGCATTCTTTTCCTCATTGGCTTTTTGGACCTCTTTTGCCATTTAGGTTAGGCTATTTTTCAAGGTGTTTCTCTCTTTCTATCTTAACACAAGTCCTGTGAATTGTCAAAATCTTTCTCTTCAAAATCTCCCCTGTCCATTCTCTTCTCCCCACTCACATAGCTACCCTCGTATTTCAGGCTCTCATCACCACTTTCTGGACTGTGGCTATAATTTTCTAACGAGCCTCCCCACCTCCCTCCAGTCCACGCTCTACACAGCTGCTAAGATGATTTTCCTAGTACAGGCCATGTCATACACCCTCAGGCTCTACTTTCCTCAATGAACTCCACTGGCTCCTTCTTACCTCCAGGATTAAATAGGAAGTCCTGCGTTTAACATTTAAGCCCTTCACGACCTGACTTTTCCCACCTTTCCAGTCTTCTTGCGCTTTATTCCCCTCCATAGTTAAACTGGCCCACTTACCATTCCCTCTGCAAAGACGCTCCACCTTCAGTCTTCACTCTCATGCCTTTGCTTTGGTTGCTCCCTATACCCGAAACGTTTTCCCTCCCAACCTCTGACTCTTAGAATGCCTGGCTTCCTTTAAAACTCTGCTCAAGTGCCATCTCCTTAAGAAGGCCTGTCCTTAACCCCTCTAGCTGCTAATGCCATCCTCTTTAAGGTTATTTTCCATCTGTTTTATTTATTTTTGTGGTTCAGTCATTTCAATCTTTGTGACCCCATTGGGGGTTTTCTTGGCAAAGATACCAGAGTGGTTTGCCATTTCCTTCTCAGGCTCATTTTACAGATGAGGAAACTGAGGGAAAAAGAGTTAAGTGACTTGCGCAAGGTTACACAGTTAGTAAGTGTCTGAGGCTGTATTTGAACTCAGGAAGATGGGCCTTTGTAACTCCAGGCTCGGCTTTCCATCCACTATGCCATCTAACTGCCTTTCTATTTATTTCATATGTCCTAATACATTTATGTATCACATACATGTGATATATAGAATCTATAGAATCTATATAGAATATGGAATCTATAAAATTATATATTACAAAATAAATTATTTTATTATATTAGTGCATGTGTCCCTATCATTCGAATGTAAGCTTCTTTTTTTTGTTTTGTTTGTTTGTTTTTGGTGAGGGACTTGCCCATGGTCACATGGCTAATAAGTGTCAAGTGTCTGAGGCTGGATTTGAAGAATGTAAGCTTCTTGAGGGCAGAGACTTTTTTTCCCCTTTTCATCATATTCCCAGTAGGAGGCCCAGACCCTGGAACATAGAAGGTGCTTAATAGATGTTTATTGATTGGTTGGTGCACTACAATTTGTTTAGCCATTCCCCAATCAGTGGGTAGGTATCTCCTTCTCTAAACTTCCTTACTGCTACAAAAAGCGTGGCTTTTTATATTAGGGTTTCACCTCATGCCCAGCAAATTGACAAAGATGACAAAAGATAAGAATAGGAAATGTTGTCAAGAAAGTCAAACGTGGTGGAAAATAGTTTGATCCTGAATTGGAACAACCGTTCTGGAAAGTAATTCAGAAATGCACTAAGACAAGAACTAAAATGTCCATGCCCTTTGACCCAAAGATCCTACTGCTATGCTTATATGCCAATAAGGTCAATGATAAAAAGAAAGTTTTTTTTCCTCTCTCTCTCTTTCCACATATGTATGTGCATGTATATATACATAGATATACACATAGATACATGTGTGTATATATGTATACATACACACATACCAAAACATTCATGGTATTACTTTATGGATTCCTTTCTATCAAGAATAAAAAAATTGGTATGATTCAGTTTCTCTAGCAGAATTGAATTAAATGAAGATACAGTTAATACAGAAGAATGGTCTAAAAACTATGATTGTTAGCAATCTCTACCCTTTTATCTTCTTTTGGCCACTGATCGCTGCAGAAGCAAAAGGGGCCTGCCCAGAATTGGGGGTCATTTTGTCATTTTTCTGTTTCCAAGGGTTACCATGGCCAAAGAATCCATCACCGAATGGCCAATCCACTGGTTATGAGCTTTTATATACTTAGCTAAATCAATCCTTGAAAGCAGAAATGGTCCATTACTAAGAGTTGCACAGTTCAAATGTGGTATAATAGAATTATTCTCTGTTGCTGGCAGTGTTCAAGCAGAGTATAGGTAAGGTATCTGGGGGGGGGGGGTTGCTCCAGTATAGAGTTTGGACCGGAAGACCCTTAAGGTCTTTTCCATCTATTAGATTCTACAATGCTCTGTTCTTCATCCCATGACTCTATGTTTTCCGGATCTATGCTTTATATGTTATGATTCTATCTATGTCCTTCATTGTATGATTCTATAAATGGGGAGGGGGGTGTCAGTGGGGATATCACTTCTGCTGCCTTCTGTCTCCAAACGTTGTTGTGTCTCTCAGGCCTAGGAGGAGACTGGGGTTTCTGTTCAATAACCAAGCAGAATGCAACTATTGTAGGTCAGAGGACCTATAAGTTCCTCTTGGTTCAACCAAAACCATCTCCTATTCTTCTACCTGCATTGTTGATATTCTAAATGTGAGATCCTCATTCAACTGAATATAGATTGACATCTTGCCAGCGGAATTGAATCAAATCAATTTACCCTTTTGAAAAAAATGAAACCAGAAATTGGGGATACTGCATGCCTTGGTTAGTGTCATTTGTCCCTCCTTTTAGTAATCTCATCTCCTCTTCCCACTATATGGGAGGAGTTTAGACCAGGGTGGAGAATAGGATGTCCCCACCCTTGAACCAATTGGATATATTATTTTCTACCGATTCAGTCTTTCTGCTCAGGATGCAGATGCCTCTACCATCAGCCAGTCACTGTCACTCCTACTAGAAACTGTTAGGAAGGCAGAGATCACGCAGATCATTGAGTTCTAGGAGCCATGGGGCACACCCAGGATCTCATCTTGAAGTCCATGGAGAACTTGACCATCAATGAGCTCAGGAAGTTGAAGCTCAAACTTTTCCCTCATCTATTATGGGATGGTTTCAGCTGTATCCCCAGAGGGGTTCAGCTTCCCCTGGATGCCTTGGACTTCACCAACAAGACAGTCAACTTCCACCTGGAGGACTATGGGTTGGAGTCTGCAGAGGTGCTCAGGGAGCTGAGTGAGCTACAGGAGGCTGTCAGTCTCCAGGAGGCTGTGAAGTCTGGTAAGGCCCCTAAACCCATCTTCCAGTTTCTTCTTCCTCCTATTCTCTTCTGTTCCTGTTCTTTCATTCTGTGTCTAACTTCTCTGCCCAAGTCCTGAGCTCTTCCATAGACTTAAGATCTCTCCTGGGATCCGAGCCCCTGACTTCCATCTCAAGCTATCGTCTGAGCCCAACCTTCTTCACTCTATATCTTATCCCCTTTTGACTCCCTTAATATCATTTCTCTGCCTCCTAGCTTTTACTTTGAATTTTATCTACTCCGTAAAGACCATTTTGGTGGGCTAGGACCAAGGGAAAAATGTGACAGGATATCCTGGGAAGCATTTGACCACACACACACACACACACACACCCTAACATGCATGTTTTCAAATGCACAAACCAGGACACCCAAAAGTTGACTCAGAAATCAACAAACACAAATACTCACACATACACATATTCACATAGAACTAGAATGCAACAGACCCACATTTACACATATCCACAATCTCTCACTTGCTTCAGCTTCTCCATAGAGCCTGAGCTCCATCCTGAACATATCATCATTGATAGTACCATCACTCTCCCCCAAAGGATTCCATCATTTACTATCTCTGTGCTGAGTCAAACTGTAGGGAGATCAGTCTTTATGGAGAGTCAGGCACATCCTGACATACCTTCTCAAAGAATTACGAGCATGTGTAAGTGAGATTTATGTAAATGTATATAAATATATCACTCCCTTCTAGCTCTCTCCCCCATTTGCACTCCCACTGGCAAACTGAGCGCACAGGAGAATGAATACTACTGTCCTCAGAATTCTAGGGGTAACCCTGAAGGTTTATGCTTTTACTACTATGGTTCCTGGGCCCCCACTGATGTACATTCTATTAACAATTAGATAGCCAAACAATTAGCTTTTAGGAAATGTATTTATTTTTGTTGTTGTTGTTTTGTTTTTTAAAATTTTATTAATTTATTTTGATTTATCAAAAATCACTTCCATATGCTTTTGAGTTGAAAATTTTTCTCCCCCTTCCTCCCCCCCACCCTCCCCAAGACGGCTCACAATCAGATATAGGCTTTACATTTACATACCCATTAAACATATTTTCACATTAGTGAAGTTGTAAGTAAAAATTAAAACCAATAGGAAGAACCATCAGAAAGATGAAACAAAACTCAACAGAAGGTAAAAGTAACTGATAGCAATTCTACTTCCATAGTTCTTTCTTTGGATGTGAACAGCATTTTCCATCCCGAGGCCTCTGGAGATGTCTTAGATCCTCGTAATGCTGAGAAGGGTTCATTTAACAATCTTAGTCATTGCATAACGTGGCTGTTATTGTGTACAAAGCCCTCTTGGTTCTGCTCACTTCACTCAGCATCAGACCATACAAGTCTTTCCAGGTTTTTCTGAAGTCAGCCTGTTCATCATTTCTTATAGCACAATAGTATTCCATTACATTCATATACCACAACTTGCCCAGCCATTCCCCAATTGATGGGCATCCTCTCAATAGGAAATGTATTTATTAAGAACGTATAGTAATAGCACCAATTATGAAACATTCCCCTAAAATATCTGAGTTGCACTGCCCCACAAATATTCAGTCTCCATGGGGAGAATGGGCACAAATGTAAAGTTCAGTAGTAATGAGGAACATGTGAAGAGAACCTTGGGGTAAAGGGGTGACTCACAACTTCTGGTACTGGAAGCCATTTCTTCCACTGTAGTCTTCATACGCTCTACCTCCAATTCTCAGGAGTAAGTCTCTTTAGAATCTGTGGCTAGAACTTCTCTCCATGAAACCACCTTGTCTCAAGTGACTTTTTCATTTGGCTAAGTGTGCTGTCTCCTGTTGATCTCTGTTCCACAAATAGAAAATTCCTCTGACATCAGCCAGTGCCATACCCAGGAGATTCTGCTACCGCCATCACAGCTCTGGCCATTGATGGGACCTCTGGATCTCTCAAAATCACAAGGTCACCCCCTGGACAATTCCATTTTAGGATAATCATTCACCTAGGATTAGGAAAGAATAAAACCCTTTACCTTACCTGGCTCTTTAGAGGCAGCTCAAAAGCCTGTCTCATTTCTTCTTTTTGGAACCCCCTGCATTCCAGGTCAGTTACAATTAGAAGACTTTTCATCATCACACAGTACATTAATTTCCATAATGCACAACCAGAAACTGGCTCCTCCAAAGTTTATACATAGTTGAATTAGAAACTAGCAAGGGAAAATTATGCATGCTTTAAGGACTGAATTCTATAGTTACTCTATGCCACATCACTCATGCTGACACACATTTATATAAAAGGAGGCATGCATTTAGAGAACACCTAATTGTTTCAACCTGAATACTCTTCCCCTCACCGTCCCTGTCCTGTGATGTCTGAAATGAGAGAAATCTAATTTCTGTTAGGGAGGGTGGAGCTGGTGGGTGGAACGAGGAAGGTGGGGAAGAAAAAGACAGAACACTCCCCAGAGGGGGCTTCCCAAAAAGTAGAGGCTCAGGTCTAGGAGAACTTGAGATGTCAACTCAATACCCTATTTACAGCCTCAGGATGTGTCTCAGATGGAAATGTAGCCCAGTCCACTCCAGTTCCAGCCCCAACATCCACTCCATCAGGTAAGGACTCAGTCTTTCTCTTTAAGGGGACTCTATTTGCCCCTAGACCCTCACAGCCTTGTGGAAAGCTGGAGTTAAACATGAAATGGTAAAAATCCAGAATCAGGGAGCATCCTCCATGGTATGGGAACTAGCTAGATCCTTCAGTCAATTTGTCATTCAGTTAACTGATCTATCAAGAAAACTTTTTTTCCTGAGTATTGGGTGCCCACTAGCTGCTAAGGAAGAAAAAAAGGAATTCCAGAGGGAATCAAACAAGCAAACAAACAAGCATTTATTAACCTTCTTTGTGCCAGGCACTGTGATAAATGCTAGGAGTATGACTGGCAAAATCAAAACAGTCCCTGCCCTCCAGAAATTCACACTTAAATGGGGTAAATGACATGCACATACATACATATATGCAAGGTACATACAGATCAGGTATAAGACAGCCTTAAAAAAGAAGGTGATTGTATCTACAAAGACCAGAAAAGACTTCCTACAAAAAGTTGTACTTGAACTGAGTTTTAAAGGAATTCTGAGATTCCAAGAGGCAGAGGTGAGAAGGTAGAACATTCCAGGCATGGGGAATAAAAAGCACAAAATCATGGAGATGGGAGCTTTTCTGTCTCTTGCTGTGAGGAACAGCAAGTATACCAGTATGGATAAACAAGACAAGATGTTAAGAGCTTTAGATGTCAAACAAAAGAGTTTGCATTGTAATAGGTAACTATCGGAATTAATTGAATAAAACACGACATGGCGAGAACTGGGTTTTAGGACAATTACTTTAGTGGCAACGAGGATAGGTTAGAGGAGGGAGAGACTTGAGTCAGGAAGACCAAATAAGATTCTTTTCAACAGTTCAGATGGAAGATAACTAAGACCTGAACTAGCATGATAGACATATATGTAGGCTGATGGCAAATTCCAGAGATGTGGCAACTAATTGGAAACATGGAGTGAATGAAAGTGAGATGAAGGTAACACAAAGATTACAAACCTGAGTGACTAGAAGGATAGTGGTGTCCTTAACAGATACAGCCAGTGATCCCACTGGGTGCTTACAGAAGACATGCTCCCAAAAAAACTGTGGGTAAATAGAATCTCAATTCAATACTCTGGGAGTGGGAGACAAAGCCTGCATGTATAGATCTATGAATCATCTTCATAGTGACAATAACTGAACTCATGAAGTCCCAAAGAGAGAAAGTATAGAGAGCAAAGAGGGCCCAGAACAGAGCCTTGGAATACAACCACATTTAGTGGACATGACATGAACATTGATCCAGTGAAGAAGAATGATAGATAGTAGTCAGATAGAAGAACTAAATAAGTAACTAAGAGAGGAAAGATATCCAAGAGAAGATAGTGATCAATACCATCCAATATTACTGAGAAGTCTAGAAAAATGAGGACTGAAGTGCTGAACAACTGCTTGTGGACTAGACGTGGTGGAACTAGAAGTCACCATGAGGATGAAGAATAGGCTTAGGTGAAATAAGGAATAGAGAGAGATCAAATGGTAGGAGGTTCTGATTAGACAAAAAACATTTCAGAATTTAGGATCATGCAGGCAGAATACTTGTGAATGAGGGCAAAATCAAAGATGTGGCCATCAGGAGCAACAAGTAGGTCATGAGGGCTGAGTACATCAAGGAACTTGGAGGTTAGTGTTCCTGAAGAAACGTCAGGATGTATATTGAAGGCCTCCAGTAGAAAGTCAAGAGCTGGGGTAGAGAGACATAGCAACCCAGCTACTGAATTTATGAGAAAAAAGGGAGGATGTCTTTGGGGGAGAGGGTGGTAAATAACAGCTACCAGGGTCTGGATTGACTGATAAATTTGGATAGAGTGAACCTCAAAGGATGAGGGGCTGCTGAGTGATGACAGTAGAATCAGTCTGTAAATAGCAATAGGGAGAAAGGAGTATTCAGACTCCCCTACCACAACCAATGAGTATTTGCGGGGGAGGGGGGGAGAAGGTGAAACTAGTATGAAAAGAATGGTCCTGGGAAGTCGGGTCTAAATGAGTGCTAGAAAGTGGGAGGAACCTGAAAGAGATCCAAAAGTCGAGAAGAACTGTGCCCAGAGAATGTTTTTCATGCTTTTTTCCATAATATGATCAAGTTATAAAATATACAGGTGATCCCTGCTGGGCCCTTACAGAGGACATGCTCCTGAAAAAAACCTGTGGGTAAATAGAATCTCAATTCAATACCCTGGGAGTGACAACTCTTTAAAGAAGACACAGGGTGACCTTGCTGTAGGAAAAGTACCCTTTCATGTATCTTTGGGATTTTCATTGACCAGGTGGTAGGGTTTTTTTGGGGGGAGGGGGATGAGGTTATTAGGGTTAAGTGACTTGCCTAGGGTCACACAGCTAGTGTCAAGGGTCTGAGGCCGGATTTGAACTCTTGACTCCAGGGCTGGTACTCTTTCCACTTCGCCACCTAGCTGCCCCAGATTTAGGTTTTTTTAAATTGAAGTTCACCTACACTCAGAAACTCTGGAACCAAAGCGTTGCTAGTCCAGAATGCCTAACATTAGGGCATTGGAGTAAAAGGAAGTAAAGGATGAAGAAGGGAAGTAGGTGAGCACAGTGGAGTTAATAAAGGAAGATTTCTCCTGCCTTTAGAGGAGGCATGAAGAAGGGAAAGGAGATAGATTAGCCAAGAGGAGTGGAAAATGGCTCCACTCAAGGCCCAGAAATCATAATCATGGGTGTTGGTTATTTTTGGTCCTGGGAGGTAGGGTGGGAGGAGTGAGTATAGCCTCAGCCTTGCTGTAAAAAAATACAAATACTTGGAAGAGCTCTCCCCACCCAGAACCAAGGAAGGATGGGTGGAACATACTTGGCCTGCTCCTCCCACATCCCCACTCCCCATTATATATCATTCTCCTTCCCAGGAGCCATCTACTCACTGCTTTCTTTTTACCTGCTGCCTCCTTCCCTTTAAGCCATCATCTCATCCTTTCTTTACAGTTCCCTCTGTCCTATACCCACCATGTGGACAAGTATTGGACAGATTTCCTCAACTATGTCATCCAACTGGACCCTGTCCTAGACATATTGTATGGAAATGTCCTCAGCAAGGAACAATACCAAGAAGTCAGGGCTGAGGACAGCAATCTGGACAAAATGAGAACACTCTGCAGCTTCATGGCAGACTGGGACCTCAGCCACAAAGACCTGTTCCTTAAAGCCTTGAGGGAGACCTAGCCTATCCTGGTGGAAGATCTGAAGTGAGATGGAAGGATGCCTTTTCATCTCTAACCCACAGACCTGTTCTTTGGGGAAAGAAAAGAAAAGAAAGGAAAAGAAGGATTTAATATCTAAATAAAAGCAAGCCAAGGCAGCAGTCAAATGAAAGGGAAAAGAAGGAGGTAGAGAACAGAAAAAACTTACAGCTATTGCTTCTACTACAATCTCTAAGAACTCAGCTCCTGTGCTGGGATGCAAGCGTCTGGCCTTCCAGTGCACCAAAAATTGCTTTTATTTTAAAAAGTCAAATAAAAGTCTAAAACTTGTGCCTCTTTCATGTATCGGAATAATTTTCTCTTCCCAGGCCAGTTTCTTAACATTTATCCTCCCCACTTTTCCATTCCCCAACTCAGCCTAGTCCCCTGACTTCCTGAGTTCTCTCAGCCAAGAAAATCTTTATCACTCCTTTTCCAGCTTAAGAAATGTTACCCCTACTAACCATCCCACCTGTTTTCTATTTCTGTGACTTGTTGTTTGACCCATTTATCCCTTAGGATTAGATTATTTAGTTTCCAATTAATTTTTAGTGTATCTTTCCATGGCCCTTTTATTACATATAATTTTTGTTGCATCATGATCTGAAAATGATGCATTTAATATTTCTGCCTTTCTGCATTGGATTGTGAGGTTTTTATGTCTTAGTACATGGTCATTTTTTGTGTATGTGCTATGTACTGCCAAGAAAAAAAGTATAATCCTTTCTATCACCATTCAATTTTCTCCAGAGGTTGATCATATTTAACTTTTCTAATGTTGTATTCACCTCCTTAACTTCTTTCTTGTTTATTTTGTGGTTAGATTTATCTAGTTCAGAGAAGGGGAGGTTGAGATCCCCCACTAGTACAGTTTTGCTGTCTATTTATTCCTGTAACTCCTTGAACTTCTCCTCTAAGAATTTGGATGCTATACCACTTGGTGCATATATGTTTATGTTAATGATATTACTTCATTGTCTATGGTGCCTTCTAGCAGGATGTAGTTTCCTTCCTTACCTCTTTTAATAAGATCTATTTTGCTTTTTCTTTGTCTGAGATCAGGATTGCTACCCTTGCTTTTTTTTTTACTTCAGCTGAAGCATAAGACATTCTACTCCAGCCTTTTACCTTTATCCTGTGTGTGTCCCAGTTTCAAATGTGTTTCCTGTAAACAACATATTATAGGATTATGGTTTCTAATCCATTCAGCTATCCACTTCCATTTTATGGGAGAGTTCATCCCATTCACATTCACAGTTATGGTTACTATTTGTGTCTTTCTCTCCATCTTATTTCCCCCTTGTTTATGCTTTTCTTTCTCCTTTCTCCTTTTCCCTCCTCACTAGTGTTTTGCTTTTGACCACCACCTCCCTCAGTCCCACCTCCCTTCTATTAGTCCACTCCCTTTTCCCTCCCCTTTACCCTTACTACTTCTTCCCTCCTTTTTATCCCCCTCCCTTTTATTTACCCTTTTCCTTCCTACTGCCTATAGGGCAAGTTAGGTTTTTATACCTAACTGATTATGTTATTCCCTCCTCCAGTCTTCCTCCTTTCCTTTTTTCCCAGTAAAATCCCTTAATTAATCAGATTAATCCACTTACTTAGATCCATTTAACCCACTTAATTTTATTTTTTTTGTCATTACATCACAGTCAACTTAAACCCACCCCCTCTATGTATACAGCTTTAAAATCCATCTGTTTTCTTAATCTCATTCTTATCTCAGCCTTGGGCCTCCAACCCTACTCTCCTTCTCACTTGGAGCCTGGTTCCTATCCCCTTCCTCATCTATAGGACCCAAATCCCCACCTCTTTCCAGCCCTCATTTCCTTTCCACCCTGGATTCCCTCATTCCTCACTGACCTTCCATCCTGAGGTTCTGACCCTCATTATCCTCTATCCTGGAAGCATCAATTCCTCAGTTCCCTAAGTTCTGAAACCCTCTTTTAAAAATCACCAGACCCTAAGCCCCAATTTTCCTCCCAATCTGGAGTTCCTAACAACCTGTTTTTCTCTCCTTTGGGCGTTCTGACCCATGCTCACTTCTCGCCCTAAGTTTCTGATACTCATTCTACCACAGCCTTGTGGCCCTGAAAACCATTTCCTTCCTACCCTAGAGATCTTGACTCTCAATTCCCTTTTCTGACTGGACCCAGTCAGACCTCTTTGAGGCTCTGGCCTCCTACTCTCCTCACAGTCTGGTGCCCTAACCCCATCTCAGCTTGGAAATCTTAACCCCAGAGCTGTTACCATCACAGAGCATGAGGTTTCCTCTAACTTCTTGGACTTTTTTTTACCCAAATGATGAGTCTGTCCCCTTTGGAATCTGACCAGCATTTCTGAACCTTAGATGAGACTACTTCTGGCTTCTTAGCTATTGTACATCCTCCTTTTCACTCACTCTGTTAAAGTTGACTTTGTATGAAGTCTTCTCTGCCTAACCCAGTTGGATTCAGGTTCCTCTTTTCTTTATTCCCTACCACTACTTCCTGCTGGGCCCCTAACTCAGTGCTCATGCTCAAACCAGCAAAGCTCTGAGTACAGGTGAGCTTCAACTAAAATGGAGCCAAACTATAAAGATCCATATTTACCTCCAAAGACACATGAGAGGAGAATTTGCGGCAGCCAACATCACCCTGCAGGGATCTTTTATAGAGCTAATCCCTTCTCCCCCACATAGCATTGAAATGGGATTCAGTATCCACCATAAGGGCTTGTAAAGCACCATCTGCATGAGTTTTTATGATTTTTTTCCACATTGTGGAAAGATACATCCAAAATATTCCCATCAGCCCAGTTTCTTTGTCTCTGGCGTGCCCCCTTTCCCTTCAGGGCCCACTTCAAGGTTCTGCACCCAGTGGACAAGCAGTACAAGAGGCTTCTCTGATGCACTGACTGACCAACAGACAGAGACTTACCTTCAAGTTCCTGGATTCTGTCCTTCCAGGCTTGGCTCAAGCTCCCTGCAAGTCTATGTGAGGTAGGAGATGTCAACCTAAGAGCAAATAGCTTTCCTTGGGAAAAGGATATGTTCTCCATATATAACATTCTATCCGCCACCTTAGTCCCTTAGTACAGCATAACCATACTGTCTGCAATGAAGTCTCACCCCTCCCCCCCCCACCATCCCCCCAGGCTCTACTTCCGAAAATACCTACTTTAAGGCAAAACTCAGGTGCCACTTCCTACAGAAAGCTACTCTTGAGCCCTGGTTGTCTGTGTTTTCTGTCACTTAAAATTACTTTATTTTTAAATGTAATTTTTCAAACCATAAGCATTTATTTTCTCTTCCACTAGTCCCAATTAAAAAGAAAAATAAAAGTCTTGCACAGTCAAGCAAAACAAATTCCCACATTTTCCATGTCCAAAAATGTGTGTCATTTCAGCATCCTGAGTCCATCACTTTTCCATCAAGAAGTGTCATTGGTTCTCTGGAATCATTGCATTGATCAGAGTTCTTAGGTCTTTCAAAGCCACTTGTTTTTACAGCATCGTCGTTGTATAAATCGTTCTTCTGGTTCTCACTTCACTCTGCATCAGTTCATACAAGTCTTCCCAGGTTTCTTGAAATCTCGTTGTTTTGCTTTGTATAAACTTTAGTTGATAATTATTTATCTGTGTCAGGTTGGATCCTCCCTCCTTCCTCCCTCCAAAACATTTAGCCTTTGAGAACAGAAAATATTATCCTTTCTGTCCCAATAATCCCAGTGCCTGGCAGAGTGCTTTGCACAGAGTAAGTGTGAACTATATATTTCTTTATAAATATCTGTATTTATAAACATATAATATATTTATGAGTATATATTAACACAGGACCTTATACAAAGGAATATTTACTTCAAGAGGTCTGATCACAAATATACAAATGTACTCCCCAACATGTGGGAAGCATAATCCCTTCCTTCACACACACACACACACACACACACACATGCATGCACACACATACACACATATTATTTGCATATATATACATATTATATATATATATATATATATGCATATTTACACATACATATATTTGTTTAATTAACAGAGCCTGCTAGCTGGGTTTCATTTCCAGCTGTTCTGGATACTGAGATCCAAAGGAGGGAAAAATTTGTGAGGATAATTTAGTTCCAAGTTTCTTCAGATATGTACCTCTCCTTCCAGAATCAGGCTGCTCTGTGGAAACATCTGGCATTTTTCCTTCTCTCCTATTTCATATTCTCAACTTGGTCCAACCAAAGTCTCTCTAAGTTGAGAGGACATAGGGGTCCTTGGAACAGTGAGAGGAAGGGAAGGGCTATGGACTGGGGCAGTTGGATAATAATGGTAATAATAATAGTTAACATTTATATAGTCCCTACCTACAATATGCCAGGCACTGTGAATGCTAAATACTTTACAAATCTTTTCTCATTTTCTCTAGACTTGTCTATGTGTATGAGTCAACATGTGTATATACTTAGGTAGATGTTTATAGATGAACAGATCATTGTTTCAGCATATGTAAATAAATAAGCATGCCTATACCTGTAAGATCAGGTGTGTCAGCATTTAACCAGAATTCCCTGAAGCCTAATCTCCCCTTAGCTTGGCTCCACATAGAGCCTGTGAAAGATGGAATCTGCTGGTAGAGAATAACAGAGCCTTATTAGTGATGATAAGGATGGAACGCAGCCAATGGTTGACCATTTCTCCAACTCAAACTCTATAGGGAGGCTGAGATAAGGAAGGATTTGAGAGTATGACTATGGCATTGTTTCCATGTATCTGTTCATGCAAACATGTATGCTTCCATGATCACATGCGCATTGATGCATGAATAAGTTAAAATGTATTAGTGTGCTAGTATATGTGCGTCAACATATTTCAGTAAGTATCGGGGTATGTAGGAGGGTGTCTGTGTGTATGGTTAAATGTGGCCCAGTATGTACCCTTGCCCCAAAACCATTCAAGCTGGGCCCTTAGGAGGTCAAATAA